GTTCTCAGCATAGAAAGCTTAAAAAGAGGGTTAAACCACTAGAAGAACGTGTAAAGTGGCTGGATGATAATGTAGACGAACTATTTACTATGAAATATTGCAATTGTAGTAAAGAATCCATAAATACTTCGTCCGAGTCCAGTTCATCTGAGGAATTCGATTCCGATCATGCGCCACCAAGACGATAATTTTGTGATCCTCCCATATCGAAGTCAAATCCGGTCCAACCAATAGTCCGGAGTAGTGATCATTGGTGCAGAATCACATTTTTTTCGATTAAAGATACAGCATATATTATTTATGGCACATTTTCGATTAAATATATTCGGTTATAAAACACAATACTTAAAATGGCTTATATAGAATGTAAAGTTTGGCATTTTCAAGGAGATGATGATATAGATCTAAAAAGTCGTCACGAAGCAATGAAAGCAGGATGTAGATTCTATACAGTCAAGGCATTGATAGACACATCATCTAGAGAAAATTCTATTAGAAGAAGCTTGGTCGATAAGCTTGAGATGGAGTACACTGAATATAAAGAAAAAAACAGGTTGGAATGTCTGGATTTATCTTTCCGATACGAGGGGAAAGATAGATTAGTATCTACTAATGGTGACGATGTTTTTAATGATTTCGTGGTTATTGAAAAGCCGAAAGCAGACCTTGTATTAGGATTACCATAGTTATGGCTTCGCGAAGCAAAAATAGATATGGAAAAACAAGGATTAACAATATATGGTGATTTTGTGCCATTCTGCGAGGAGACAGATTCATCTGAGTCCAAAGAAACCAATGATTCCAATCATACGGGTCTGAAGCAGTAATCGCGTAATTTTATTTTTTGTTTAAAGATACAGCATATACAGTATTATTTATGACGCATTTAACCATCTTTTATTTACCAGAAGTACTAGAACATATTTTACATTTCTTATTGATAGATAAATCTATCTACCCCGCTCTATATGTTTCCCGATTGTGGTACAGATGCGGTGCCCCTATCCTATGGAGACGCATAGAGCTAAAGGGGAACGATCCCAAAGTAAAGAAATTCATAGAATTAGTATGTGGGAAGCAAAAGCCAATTTATAGCTCGAAACTAACCCATCTCGAAATTCCAT